GTTTTTAATATGAATTTGCTTTAAAAATACTAACTACATTAGAAATTTAGAGTTAAATTAGTGCTCACTTAAAGCCAAAGATGAATAACTTGGGTTAGCCTTTCACCAAGGCCAAAAAAAAATCACAAGGGTACACTAGGAAGGAATCATAAGTCTAAAAGAGGGGGCTAGTGATTTTAATTAAGATTTTTCCTAGCAAAAAGTTAGATTGATGGTGAGTTTGTGTGTGTAGTTCCATGATTGTAGAGTCTTTTCCTAACACTTCTTTCTACAAATATGCATTTAAGAACTTGAATAAATCTTCTAAGGAACTAAACTTATATATGAATCATGACTATCCATTCTCATTTTACAGATAACAGGTAGAATTAAGTAGCACCTATGGAGGGAACCACCCATACCACCATAATCAAAAGCTAAATTTTGTTTATTCTAGTCTCTCTTATGAGTATACACTAAGATACCCTAAAATCTATACAATTTAGTCCAAAATTGTTCCTTAGTCTATAAGGATCTCTCTCTAAACTTTTGAATGACTTAAAATATATCACCAAGATTAACTGAGCTATAGTGCTTAAAATTTCTCCAATTCCAATTAAATGTTAGGAAAACCATAAAAATTCCATCTATAAAATAAAAAAATATTATTCTAGCAATATATATTCTTTTCTTAAAATTATGTTAAAAGCAATTAAATGTTACCTCAACCTCATGAAATCGCATATCACAAAAATTTACTAAAATCTTATCCCATGTACATAAGGAGCATAAAATTTTCTCTTTTGATATCATTAATCTTTAAAGTTGCCAATTTGGAAGATTGAAACAAGCGTAAATTATTTTTTATTAGTATGATAGCTACAATTGTTGACAAAAAAAATTATATACTTACATTTCCCCACAATATGCTATATAATGTGAGAATCTAATGTATCAACATTGTCGACGAGCCTTTAAAGATCTAGCATGATTTGATGGGGATTGTAATGAGTAATGACTAGGTTGTGCATACTTTAAGGATAAAAGGTGGATGTGCTAGCATGTAGCGATGGAGGAAATGGAATTGTGTGCATAATATTTGATGATGGTTAATCTCTTCCAAAAAATTTTTTTCTTGCATAGTATCATTCTATCAACTATTAGTCATCCACTTGGCAACACATTAGACTATATTAGATTAGTTAAGACTTGATGACCTATCATCTACTTTCCAATCTATTATCATTCTTATGTACAATTATTTCACTTTTGATAATCAACATGTGCCCATCAATTTGTGTTATTCATTGACCTATCTATCCTCTGCCATCCTATTAATTAGCATTTTGACAAAACTTTACACAGACCTATCCCCACATGTTATTCATTAAATTATTAGTATATATAGACATGAAGTAAAATCTTTAACCTATCAACTTGTCATATGATGGGAACATCTTAAGCATTCAAAATGCATAAATATTAGGTATATTTTTGTGTACATTTTTCATTATTTTGTAAATTTATGTTATTTATTTTGTGTTTTATATAGGAAATTGATATGACAGTAAATAGAAGACGATATGACAAAAGTACAATAACAATGGTACTATAACAAATTTGTTGTAACAACACTATTTGGAAATTTTTCTAATAAGAGCAAAGTGTTGCAACATTCTATCTTGAGCACTAGAGTTACAACATTGAACACCGCAACACTATTCTTGAGTGTCGTAGCACTATCGAGGCCAAAGCGAAGACCCAAAATATAGAGCTTGGCACAGACCATACTTGATGTGTTTTAGCACTACCCCAGAGCCGCAATGACGTACTCAGAGTGTCACAGTTTGACAGTTCAATAGGAATAATTATACATTTTTTGGGGGCAGAATGACAATTATTTCATTGATCGAGCTTAAAAAGTGTCTAGAAATATGCGAGAAGGCAGTTTAGTGAGTTTAGAAGTGGAGTCTGCGTGTGTGTGTGTGTGAAGTTGTATGTGAGAGTGTGCTTAGCCCAAAAGAGCAACTGTGAGTGCATGATAAAATGAAGGAGCAAGGCTAAGGATTTGGATATCTCTCCACCACAAAGATTTTATTTCATTCAAGAATTTTGAGTGCCCTCATTTCTTTTGAATTTTCTTACATGTTTTTTTTTCATTTATGTACTCTTTTGATTATTTGTTTGAATAGAACAATTTCATTCTATTAAAAAGCTTTCATCATATTAAGCTAAACATTTTTACCTTTGAAATTGTTATTTGTTATTAAATTTCTATTGAATGTATTCTTCTCAACACCATAAACTAAGTAGGTTAATTTAATTTTCTTCTATTTTATTTTAGCAATAATGATGACCATATTTTTGTTTAAAATATAGTAGAAGATTATTAACATGGAGGGATTATAGAAGGAAAAATCCAACTATGGTTTAGAAGATTAAACATATTGCATCTGAACCTTAGCAATCATTTAGAAAATATAGAATTTCAATTTTAAATCCTCTATTTGCATAGACATATAGCATTCATGGATTCTAAAATTAGGATTTTAACTATAAACAAAGGTTAAGAGCTACATATGCTGATGATTAATGATAAATATTTTATGATTTGTTTGACATGTGTGGTCAAATTTGCCCATACAAACATCTCGTAGGAACATTTGCCTATATAAAATGTAGTTAAATTTAAACATCTGAAGATTTTGCCTGAAATAAATTCTAAAAGGCATAATTTCACATTTTAAAAATTAAAAGAGTGGTATTTTTGATGTGGTAGCATAGAGTTTGGTGGTATTATTGTAACGATCAAAGATTAAGTGTTAGATAAGTAAGTACATATGAATTGGATGATATGCATGAAAATGCCCCAAAATTAATGTGCCTGCATACAACTATGAAAGTTTAGATGCTACATCTGTATATGCATGTACATAACTATCATGATATCTAAATGCCGCTTACTTTATTTATTTTTTGCTTCAATAATTATTACCTAATAAAACAATGACATAATATGGCCTCTCTCTCTCTCTCTCTCTCTCTCTCTCTC